AGATCTGGACTCATTCGCCTTGGAGGTTGTTTGTAAGGTTTACAACCTTCTTTGATGGGCAATCGATGCTCTATTAGACTTCTTGTCAAACCAGGCATCTCTGAATAATCCCACGCTAAACAATCAATGTTGTTTCTAATAACTTCAAGCATCATTGTTTGTTGCTCTTTAGACAAATAACCACTTAACCTGATCACTTTTGGAACCAATTCGGTTCCTAAATTAAACTCCAATAACGGGTCTTGTGATGAAGCTGTTGGTTCTGTTTTTTCTAATAAGTCGGGCCAACGAAATTGTTCATCTTCTTGGAGGTGAACATCCAGAATCTCTTTATTATTTTCTACTTTATGTAATAACTGTTTTAAATAGAACTTATTAATAAGAGAACTACATACTTCTAAAGTTGTATCTTCCATAACAAACAACTTATACAGAAATGGGTGTGGCTTTATCATGAGCCATACAATAAAGGTGTTCTTTTAATAGAACATCGAGTTCTGGCCAGTGACTTTATAACCCTTGTTTGGGTATTCCCTGGCCATATACAACTGAGACATCGGAGCCAAATGACTAGAATAAAACACTGACTCTTCCACTTGTTCTGTTACGTCGAATGGGTTGTCATTCGCTTCCATTTTAAAGACCTGATTTCCTTCCCAGAACATTAACTGTTGGTGCAAGGTTGATGGCACACATTGAGAGGCATGAATCCAATCTCGTCCCAGCAAAAGAGAGTATGTAGTATCTGCGTCCACAATAAAGAAAACAGTGGAAATTTTCTTTGGTCCGACCTCAATTGTGGCAACCATCATACCTTCAGGCTTGGTCGGCTGCCCTGTAAAACTTGTCATTTCGAATTCCACAGGGGACAGATCATGAATTCCTTTCCCTAGCTTCTTGAGAGTCTTCAATGGCATAACATTAAAGACTGCTCCATTATCCACGAAAACCTTTGTGATTGGTTTCCCACAAATGTGAGCATTAACATACAGGGGTTTCAAATGGGAGTTCGCACCCTCTGGAATAGGAGGAAACACAATTGAAGGTGCTTCCGACTGAGGCTCAGAATCTGTAATCTTTGCCCACTCTGTTTCCTCTAATTCGCCATCTGCCAAGAATGCCCATAAAGGTTCGTCCATAGTATCATCTACCAGACTCGCCCACGTCGATTCATCACTCATCTGGTTAACCTCTGTCATTCGACAAGGGATTCGTGGTCCCAGACGAGATTTAACAGATCTTGAATTTTCCTCTGTAGGCACCACTTCTTCCTTCGTCTCATTTCGAGATTGAACCGTCAAGGATTCAATACGAAATTCTTCCAGAGATGGATTGATGTTGATCCGTTCACAATGTTGGCATCTAAAACCTTTAATTATTTCATCTGCCATTCCTTTACCTTTCCCCTGTCCCGACGAACTTCTTTTGGTATAGTCGGAAGCTCCTAATCCGTCCTTCGGTTGCTTTCCTGACCAGACCCGACTGGACCGACTTATTGGAGACTGAATGGCCGCTCCCTGCTCGTCGGTCGTTTGTTCTGTAAAGACTCTAATGGACTGATCCCCTGTCAAGTGGTCGGCCGCATTTTGTTCGTCGGTTCTTTGTTGCACTGCAGGAACTCGTTTCCCATACTTTGCAGCATACCTGCGTTTGGCATTGCGAATCTGTGTACGATTCATACCTGGGAAACGAGGATCTATATCAACGGGTAAAGGCTTTTTATTTCGAGCCCAATCGTTCCCGACTGAACCCGTTTTTCTGGTCGGGTGGTCTCTCACTAAAACCTTTTCCTTCACTTCCACATTAAAAGAACCGTCTGGACGGTCCCACTTTTCAGCGACTGGCCTTTCAACAACCTTGAGTCGTTCTTCCGGTCGGCTGCTATTTGGCTGATTCCCTTTCTTTTTTCCGGGACTTGCCTGAGTTTGCTCCCCTGTTTGTCCACTATTGACCGAACTTTTCCTTGTTTCCGAACTTGGTTGGATGTCAACCATTGCAGTTGTTACTTTCGGAAATGGTTGCTGGTCTACACCTAAAGTGATGTATTTGAGCCGACCTGTCTTGATGGCTTTTTGAATTTCCTTCCTAAAATGAGTACACTGACTTGTAGTGTGTGTGAAAGAATTATGCCACTTACAATATGGTCTCCCTTTGATTTCTTCTTTAGTGGCAAGTCTTTGGCCCTTTGGAATACGGATCTGCCCATCAGTCAGTAGGATATCAAAGATTTCATCAGCTTTCGAACTATCAAAGGTCGGTTGCTCCTTTCCTTCAGATCCTGGTACTGGCTTCAATTTAGGACATACATACGGTTTTCCAGAAAGGATTTCGGCTGCCATCTCTTCTGACTGATTAAAATCAAAGTCGCATGTTTCTGTTCCCATACTCGCCATATGTTGGCCTCTATTACGCCTGTTATGCTGATCTTCCTCTCTGAACAAAGACTCTAGACGTCCTGCCTTGGATGCAAGATTTGCCAAATCCTCAACATCCAGGGCAGTCAGTGCCTTTCTTAAACGATTATGCATATTCCGGACCACTAAATTGGTCATCTCTTTCTCACTGATTACCGTAGGACATCGTCCCTTCATCAATCGCACCCTTTCTATAAACTGTGAAGCAGTTTCTTCTGGATACTGTCTCAATTCAAGTAAATCAGTTAAAGAAACAACTGGTAAAGGATTAAAGAATCTAGCGTGAAATGCCATCTCCAATCCTTCCCATGTCTGAATTTGTCCAGGAGGTAGACTTACAAACCATGAAAACGCCGTTCTGGTAAGAGACAAACCAAACAGCTGTAACTTATAAAAAGGGTTATTGCCAACCTCTCCTAATTGTGCTGTGAACCGACCAACATGTTCTATGGTGGAAGATCCGTCCTCCCCTGAGAATGCATGAAAGTCGGGTGGTCGAAAATTCCTTGGGAGAGGGTGTTCATGAATGATCCTTTCTGGGAAAGGTCTTTGATATGCAGGGCGGTTAGCCATCTGAGGAGTTAATCCATACTGATCCCTTAATATATGTGCAATCTCATCAGGATCTACATGAAAGCGTTGATGATCAGGAACCTGGAACGGATCCTGCACAGGAATATGAATCGGATCATGTATATATCCTTCAGGCCTGTCCTCCCTTGTATTGTTCGGCTGCGAACTGGTAACCCTTGGTCCCAGTGGAACATTGTTGGGAAAAGTCAAAGGAGTTTTTCCCCGATCCATTCGGTTGGGATTTGTGGCACTTGGGAATGTACTATCCACGAATGATGGCCCTGCGAAATTTGCCTGTGGTCTGGACGGTGACACTCCTGGTGGCGTTTGAGTGGGTTGAAGACTAACCCTTGACAATGCTTGATCTATCATGTTCTGCAACTGACTCTGTTGCTCACGCAACATGTTCGTTTGTTGCTCACGCAACATATTCTGCATAACCAAGGTATGCTGGTTGTTCATTTGTTGAACATAAGACCACCAATCAGTTGGTGGTTGTGGGATTTCCCCGGCATTTGGCACAATGGGTGGTGGAACGGATTCTCCCACCGGTGTCGAAGATGCTTGCGGTTGTGACCCTGCCATATGGACCCTTCCGATGATTCGGCCGGATCTAAGACGTATGAAATTATCGCCGGAATTGGAATGAGCAATTTTGTCTTGCTCCCACTGTGGTCACCAATTTGTTGATGTATTTTTTCAACAAAAATAAAGTAAAATTCAAAGATATAGAAATATCCTTAAACTTGATTAATTAGTGCCTGAGATTAGGAATCTCTAAACACTGTACGGTACAGAAAATAAACTGGAAAATAAAAGACTGAAATTTAAAGTGGTGATCCCCAAATCTGACTTTGCTTTGTTGAAGTTGATTGAAGATACCTTGCCAAATGATGATCCAAATCCTTAAATATTCCCTGGGAAACCGTACTGAAAACCGTCACCCGAACGGTTACAACGTCTCCTTCTCAACCGTCTTCCAACCTTTCTTATGCTGACACGTGTCCCCAGCAGATCAAAATTCCCTATATTTCACTCCTTGAGCCGACCACAGACCTTCCGCTCTTTTGGCCCGACTTCGTCCTTCGTCCGACCTACTTCTTCGCCCGACCCCACTTGGGCCGACCTCCATATCAACCGCCCCCTGTCTTTGATCAAAGGCCTCCGTGTTTGTCCGACTCCTCCTTCTATCCGACCTACAGTTTACCCGATCTGCGGATATCCCATCTCAACGACTTTCCGTCTCGAGGACCTCCCGACTCATCGTCTTTCCGTCTTGCGGACCTCCCGACCGGAAGACCTTCCGACTTGAGGTCTTTCCGTCTTGCGGATCTCCCGACCTGAAGACCGTCCGACTTGAGGTCTTTCATCTTGAAGGCCTCCCGACCTGAAGACCTTCCGACTTGAGGTCTTTCCGTCTTGCGGACCTCCCGACCGGAAGACCTTCCGACTTGAGGTCTTTCCGTCTTGCGGATCTCCCGACCTGAAGACCGTCCGACTTGAGGTCTTTCATCTTGAAGGCCTCCCGACCTGAAGACCTTCCGACTTGAGGTCTTTCCGTCTTGCAGACCTCTCGACCTGAAGACCTTCCGTCCTGAATTTTCCTTAGAAATAAATAAATAAATTTATTTTCCTTGATTTCCTCACGGTGTCCTTCAGCCAGTTCAATCAACCCTATTGCCAGGCCCATTCCTCGTTTTACCTTGGGCTTTTAACCTAATTCTAAATTTCGTACGTAACAATAACAAAAGTCTCAGGTTCTGCCTGCCACACATAAAATTTATAAACTATTAAATTCGACCAAGAATTTACAAGCACACCCCATGAATAGTAATTTAAGTGAAGAATCTAATTTCATTCAAAAACCCCCTAATTTATGTAAGAAAATATTACTAATAATGAGAAAGATTCACTCTTAACTATTTAACAAAAAGACAAAAATAACAAAGCATAAAAGAAGTGCAATAATTAAAATAACTAATGTGATAGATTAAAAAAAGAATTTAACTCAGTAATGCCTACTATTCCAACCAGCACTATAATTAAATACCTTCACTTGAATATATATCCATAAAAACTCCTTTTATATCCAACTCCCAACAGTCATATATCAGAAAAAACTAAGCCCAACAAAAAACCATCGAAAATAAGGAGGTTTTTGTTAGGCTTAGTTCAATGATAATACAATAAACAACACATACACATGAAAAAGAGTAGTCTTTCATGTATAAAAGAGGGAGACACTAATTAACATACCCATTCAGCCTAATGAACTGCTGACCTGGAAAACAGCAGCCGTTGATTGCGCCGGCCACCGGCTTTGTGCCCTTTGCGAATGCAGACTCGGCAAGATCAATGGCCATGGCGAGACCGGCAGCCTTGTGTTGGCACTCTATTAGCTCCTCGTCAGGCTGGCTATCGGCTACAATTCCAGCTCCAGCTTGGAGATGAGCTATCCATTCTTTGCGTAGTCTGGCGCCGTCTTTGTAGGAATATATTGTGTCGTAGTGAACTCCCGAGGGGAAGACTATTGTCCTCAGAGACAATGCTATGTCCATATCCCCGGAAAATGAAATCCCTCCAAAACCGCCACTGTAAGGCCCCCTTCTTGTTGGTTCTAGTTGATCGATTAGTTCCATAGCCTTCACCTGAGTTGAAGAAGCATCCATCCGGTAAGAGAAGCAAAAATTTTCTTTGTTCGTACCAATGATAATTGGAGATATGATAATTTACTCATTAGAGCAACAGCGGCACGCCTAAATAAGAATAGGTGCCTGTCAACATATATATATATATATATATATTCACAGGCACATGTTCGCTATCGATGGTTTCTAGCATGGGAGCTGATCAGGTACTAACCTAATCAAATCAGTATAGTTATAATATAAAATTAATCAACATTGTTGTGCTATAAGATATCATATGTTGAATTATAACATAACATATATTGTATCATAAATACACTATGATAGTATGTAATCCGCAGCAGCGTTCTAGCATGCCTTATATATGTTGAATTATAACATAATATATATTGTATCATAAATACACTATGATAGTATGTAATCCGCAGCAGCGTTCTAGCATGCCTTATATAGTTAAGATATTTTTTGAATATATATATATTATATTTACGGTATTTGTTTTATTCAAGAGATTTGTAGAATTTTAACTTATTTAGAGGATTTATAATCGAGAATTTTAGTTTTCAGATATTCTAATAATAGTATTTGTAAATTTCAAAGGAGAAGCTAATGTTTTCCCCCTAACATCTCGTAATTCCAATTTAATTTAATACCCGGCAAATTAAATAGATTCAACAATTTTAATGTTACCTTTGGTGCACCACTAACTGTTCCGGCAGGCAGCATTGCACTCAGAGCATCCCATCCTGTTAGATGATCAAGCAACTGCCCAGTTACCTGCATTCAGTCAATATAATGAATAATATTTTTCCTGATCGATCGAGGATTGTTTGTGAGAATATATATATATATATAGCAATAACTAGAGTACAGTTATGCCATGTATGAAAGAGTACTGGTTGTAATGGAAGATGAGTGAGGCAGACAAAGTAAAACACAACGATGCTGTTACCGTCATCCTAGTCCAGATTTAATCATAATTAAGAACAAGCTAGAAGAAATATGAGTTACAAATTACTTGATATAATTTGGATTTTTATAAATATTCTTACTGTTGAGCTGACGTGCATCACATGGGAATACCGTTCAACCGCCATGAGCTTTTCCACTTTGACTGAACCAAATTTTGAAACCTATACAAAGCAGCAATGAAAAATCATGAGGTGATTAATTTCAGTATATATAATCCAATATATTGAAAATCAATCAAGTGTACTTAAAATGAAAGTAAACAATGAAATGGTTTCCTTGATCTAATCTTGAGATTGCAGTTAGAATTTTTTATAGTAATGAAAGTAAATGCTAAACCAAGCTCGGAAAACTTAATTTCAGCTATTTTTTATATAATCTACTTTGGTAATAGAGAAGTAAATCAGGATGAAGAAACCTTGCCAACATCATTTCTGCCCAGATCAACCAGCATAATATGTTCGGCACATTGTTTTTCATCTTGTAGCAGCTTCTTCTCTAACATCTGGTCCTCATGAAACGTCTGTCCTCTTCTTGCTGTCCCAGCCAAAGGCCGATTAACGATCTTTTTCTGTCAGTAACAGTCATAGAATGTTGTTCTTTTTGCATATAAGCAAATCAAGAAGATGAATTAGATTTTGATGACAAGACATTGTAACTTTACCTTCTTGACACGAGTAAGAATTTCTGGACTTGAAGCAACCAGTATGCAGCCCCTAGCCTGCAATGGGGCAAAGAAAGAAGAAATAAATATGGCTCGGCGACAAACTGATTAATATAATATAAGATTATAAAAGATGAAAAAGGGGAAGGCCAAAACATAAAAATAAAAATCAAACCTGCAAGTAACCCATGTATGGACTTGGATTCACAACTCTCAAAGCTCTGTATACTTCAAATGGATCAGCAAATGTTCTTTTTTCAAAGCGTTGACTTAAGACTATTTGAAAGATATCCCCTGCCAAAATATGTTCTTTTGCCTGTAGAACTGCCTTTACATATTCCTCATTTGTCATGTTGCTATTCTCTATAGGATGTCGAAAATCATGAGTGCAGAAATCAATACAACCTGGAGATATCTGAGGCCTAGAAGATGAAGAAGAAAGGATGCATTAATTAGCATATGTAGTAACATTATCAGTATTGTCGATATGAAGTTCATAAACCAACTCACAGATCAATGCCTTGTACTTTAGAAACTAAAGCTTTCAAGTGTTCCATTCCACTATCATAAGCCCTTTTAGCAGATGAGTATCGATCTAACTGTACCCAGTGAATGACATATGCTTTCTGATAGAAAAATTACAGTATTATCACTAGATGGACTCAAACATGAAACAAAATAAAACGGAAAAAAACTATTGGCCATTGGTAGTTTACAAACAAAGCATAGATGGAGAAATCAGAAATGATAAGCATTCAAGTTGATTAAAGTACATGCAGGAAGGGTAGCAGGTGTTTAATTTCAGTCATGTTTTTCCAATGACTTGAGTCATTTCTGTAAATTACACAACTTAGGAACTTTCTGTGATTTGTTTTGAAAGTAAGCAATAAAATAATGAATCCATAAATAGAATATCAGCATGTAACAAATTATTATTTTTAAGTAGACAAGTGTAGGTACCTTCTCCACATGATCAAAAACAATAACATCATCATACAGTCCAAGATGAATGTCAGCGAGGCCTCTATCATCTTTCGGTGCAGTTGAGAATGGCAGCCTTTTCTTCTCCACATAACGAACTGTGTCATACGAGAAGAAACCAACCCATCCACCTGCAGTTGAAGAAGGTATAGGTGATTGGAAATATATCGAATTTGGTGGAATTGCCTAATGGCACCCCTATCCACAAGAAAGTAGTATTTATGAAATAGGCAGTAATGATCCCCAAGAAATATTCAGCATTGTTAGATTGATAAAATTTTCACCTAAGGATCATCATCATCATCATCAATCATATGCTTCAATTCTTTATCGAAAAAAAGATGCTCCATAAACAGGAAGACTTAATTAGTTAGGGAAGAGAAGTCAAGCAGGAAGGAGTACAGGCATTATCATTATTAATCCTAAGCTTCGATTCATTATGAAGGAAATGCTACACAAACAGGATATATTCTCAACTCAATTTATGTAAAAAATAAATAACGCTCTACGGAAAGAAGTTCGGGTCCTCATTAATGCTCTAATCATTCTGATCCAAAATTCTGTGACATAAAACTGTCCGATACGCAGAATGACCCGCCTCACCCTCAGATGCATGCAGGTGGAGGTATGCAAAATTTGTATATGCATATGCCGCAAATGGGAACTGTTGAATTCGAACTCGAGATCTAACTTAGGCTCTCTCTCGTACCATGTCGATGCGGTCGCAGAATGACCGTCTCAATTGCAAGCTCAAACTATTAGGAAATTACAGTCTTTAATTTTTATCTACAAACGAGAGTCTCATATACCGCAAATGGAGATGGACGGGACTTGTCGGATGCACACAATGATTGGTCACTCTGCCCATCCGACATAGTATAGATACTTAGGCCTCGAGTTCGAGTCCAGCCTGTCCCTATTTGCGGCATATGCATGTGAAATTTCGTATACCTTCTGTTGAGTAAGAAAAAACCAATGTATAGGTTCCTTGAGAATGGACTTATAAATTGGATTAATGTAATGGTAGTAGGGTCTTAAATGAAGTCGAACGAAGGATGAGACGGCCGATAAGTAGGGTCTTAATTGGTCGCTTAATTAAGGGTTTAGGGTCTTAACTGTTAATCGTCTGATCGATTGGCCGGTCACTTGGTCAAACATCAGTCGCTTGACTGGGCGACCAATGAATCGTCTGGACGAATGGTTATTCAGCCGATTGAAGGGACTGGATGGTGGTCGCTTGAATGGTTGTTCAGCTGTTTGAAGAGCCTGAACGGTGGTTGCTCGAGTGGGCAACTGATTAGTTGTTTAGTCTAGCGACCAGTTAGTATCTGGATTTGTCGGTTGGTGAATCGTTGGGTTATTCGGTAGATTCAGTCGGTGGATGGTCCAAACGATTTCTCAGTCGGATGGTGATTAATGATTCGTCTGAAAAGGCGACTAAGAGGTTCTCAAGGGAGTCGGTTGGCCTGCGTTTTGTCTAAGGAGTCAGGAGTTATTGTGGGCGGCTTGAGTAATCGGATGGCCAGCCGCCCATTCAAGTAGGTAAGGTGTTCAGAGGCGGTTGGTCGAGCCAGTTGGTTCTGTAACTGATGGGATTTCTTTAGGAAATATTTAAAGATTCGGGTCTATTCTTGGAAAAAGCATCTTCAATCGACATCAAATTCAGCTTTTGGGAATCACCATTTACTTTTTCAGTCTGTAGTATTTATTTTCCTAGTTTACTTATATATCTTACTGTGACATTTATTTTATCAAATTCGAAGATAATTTCTATTTTTGAATTTTACTTTTTGTTTGCATCAACACCATCATTTGCACCTAAGAGGGCGTGTTGGGACTTCGCTTGCGGATAAAATTCAATAGCTGCATTTTTCTAATAGTTTGAAATTTTAGATAAGACGATTATTTCTGAAACACACAATACGCACATGAGGCAGGATTGATCTATAGGTTCTACTTGTATCAGGTGTTTGTGGGTTTGTGTTTAATGTTGGTTAAGTTTTGACTATTATATAAAGCTGTGAATAAAAAGAACAAACTGGATACCAATCAATTGCATCGCGCTTTTCAAAGTTACAATTCATCCCTTCTCTGATTAAGGGGGTTAACACGAATCAATATGGGATAGATAATCCAGCGATACACTAAAAAATTTTAACAAATGGGTATAAAAGTTATAATTCATCCCTTAGAAAACAAAGAAAGTAGTTTCACTTATATTTTTGAAACAATGTTTTGTGTGTAATTTTGTTACTTTTATATATATATATATTTTCGAAAATAGTCTATCTATAAAATTTGAAATTAATACACTCAAACTATTTAGGTATGGGACATAGTTGCCTCTACATGACTACATGTAGACCTAGACCTAGACCTTGCCCTAGCCCCAGCCCCAGCCCCAGGGGAGGCGCCGCCATTCGTCTCCCCTTCTCTCTAATCGAAGTGTAGGTTTGATAGTTTCAAACTCAAACTACTCTTTATAATTAATTTAATACACTCAGAATTTAATTTTTTTTTAATAAAATAATCGTACACTAAATATAAAAATATATTTTATTTAAATTATAAATATATTATTACATACAAAATTAATTTATATATAATATTAATAAAATACTATTCCTCTGTTCAAGATGGCTATTAGCAAGAACAATCGCTCAGAATTCCTTTTTATTATTATTATTATTATCTAATTTAATTTTAATTCTAAAATTAAATTTAAAACTCTAATTTTTCTTTTTTTTCTTTAATTTTTTATTCATAACCACGTCTCATTACATTTTTTTAAATTCAATCATATGGCCTACACTTCTTTCCTTCACTTCTTTCCTTTCACTCTCACGTCATTGCCGCGCCCACCCACCAACCAAGACCAAAACTCATTTCTCCCCCTCTCTACTTTATCGTTCCTTCTTCAGTTTTTTTCACTATTCGAACCTTCATACAAAGTGCCGTCAGTTCGATTTTCATCTTTTTCTCTCGAGTCAACACCGTCCCTTCAGCTATCATTTTAAAAATACATATAGCCATGTGTTTATATGACCTAAAATCTATTTTTGCTTAGGGCCCTAAAAAAGTCCAAGATGGTCTGCCTCTGTACCACTTAAATTGTCCACTTTAGCTTAGAGAATGAGTTTTAGGTACTTATAATTAGAAATGTATTATAAAATAATTATGATTTAATAAAAATAACTATAATTAAAATTAAGATACTAAATATTTATGTGAAATAACAAAATTATAAATGATGAATTTTAAAATGTAATTAAAGAGTATAATTATATTTTAAAAAATGAAATAAGTGAAGGGACGAAAATAAAAAGACAAATTAAATGAGATAGATGAAGTATTATTTTTTAATGTATTATAAAACTCAAATGAGGCTTTTGGAGAGGGATGGAGGGAGTACTTTTTATTTATTTACTCCCTCCGTCCCACGTTACCATGATCACGTTGCCGTTTCTGTCTGTCTCAAGTACAATGTCACAGAATGATTACACACTTTAATCTCATTTTAAACTTTTTTTTATTTTTTTTTTTAAATTTTAATTAAACTAATTAGTTATCTATCTTAATTTATAATTATTTATATTATAAAATAATTATTTTCACTGATACATTCTTAATTATCTACTAATTACACCCCTTCTTAATTATCTACTAATTACATCCCTCCTAAAATACAGTGTATATACAGTGTAGCAGACACGGTACGTGGGACGGAGGGTGTACTAAACAAGTGTCTTACTCGGTACCTAATCTCCTCCTGGTTCATCTACAATATCCCTAGCTCAATCTTAAATAAATACCAATTACACTCAAATTAATGACGTTTAACAGCATCGATGAAATCTAATTTCTCCAAATGACAGCAGAAAATTTTGCCTCACACACACAGCTACAGAAGAACAGATCTAAAGTGGTGAGTGTAGGAAGATAGATGAGCACAGTACTGTAACAACATGAATCAAGTTCACAGCAAGTCAATCAACTGAAGTGAAGAACAGAGAGAGCATTGGATATGGTAAACGTACAGTCAAAACTTAATAATGAAAGCCATAACAGGTATAATAAACCAGAGCAGAAATTATAAATATGTGCCAAGTTCTCACCACAAAATGCATCTGGGAGGTCTTGGATCAATTGAGGTCTCCAATTTTCTGAAATTGCTCTTGGAATTGTCATTGGATCCTCCACTAACTTCTTAATTGTCTTCCCAGAATCGTGATCTAGTATTGTAACCTCATTCTCTTTTGCCACAATTTCCATTGCTGGTTGTGCTCCAACCACACTGTATCTCCCCTAAAACAAAACATAGGAATGATTGATTATTCATACTTCTCCATTGACTCCATATGATATACTTGATGTGCATTAAAATAAGGTTAGATCGATATGAAAATTTGAAATCAAATCAAATATGTTCCTTACAACAGTTGATGCACGAATTCCAGGCTCTACGGATTCGAAGAGGAAGCTTGGAGCCTCTCGATCATCTTCTCTGACCAAACATCGGTAAGCTAGAACTGGAGTCAAATGATCCGAGAATATGCATTTGTACAGAGGAATTACATTTCCAAATCCTGATGCTTCCAGAAATCTTTTCTCATCAACACCTACAATTAATTCAAAAATTGAACCAAGTCAAAAGAGAAACAAACTACACAGAAAATAAAACTAGAAATCTCTCATCCAGGACATAAATTAACTTCCAGCCAAAAATGATCCAACAGAAACGAATTCAACAGTTCAACAAATCCTAAACACAAATCAAGCCAATTGCCAGCAAATTAGTAGCTACGTATCAAAAACATATCCATCTCTGCACGTCCAAACAAATTAAACCACTTCGCATTGCTGATCAAACTAACAAGTACACTACATTACAAGCACCAAGCAAATTACCACCGTAGCAAAGTAGCGTAATATAAAATATGCAGACCTAGATTAGGAGACCTGGAACTGGAAGCACAGCATTTGAATGTACGATAGCGATATGCAAGAGAGGCGAATGACGGCGGAGACACACTCCAGGCCGTCGGCGACGGGCGGTGGGAGAACGTCGAAGCTTGCATTGGCCGCGCTACGCTGTGCAATCACTCTGACAAACAAGCACCACAGACAGTCTGCGGTGCGCCGCGATGGCATTTCCTGCAATTTAAACAGAAAGCGTGTTTCTAAAATCTATTAAATGCTCAGCGGCCAGTATTTATTGGGAGCCTGCGCTGTAGATAGCGCTTTCAAGTCTCTGCTATCAACAAATCCGATCCCATGCCTTTCTTTAATACATCATTCACAATCACCGACACGTCCTCACTTTTAAAGCTATGTATGCTGCGCTGTCTGTGTTTTGGAAGATTTTTTTTTAAAAAAAAAATTATTATTATTATTATTATTAATTATTAGGATTTTTTTTTTTTTTTTCAGATATCGAAAGATTTGTTAAAGACAGACTCTAACTTCCAATGTTCCGTCTGTTTTCATAAAAAAAAACTACCTATAAATATGACAGGACTAAGAGAATATTTTTAAATTTTTTTTAAAAAAATAATATTCAATACAAAATATTAATATTTTTTTTTTATATTATCAATGTAATATCTCATGCCTCGCCTAAAATAAGATAGAGAAAAAATTATTTTTGTCCCAATATAATTAAAATTCATTAATTTTGGTTTTTATATAAAAAATTTTATCAATTTTGGTCTCAATATAATCAAAACTTATTATTTTGTCCCAGTATAATCATTTTTTTTTTGTCCCACCATCAACAAACCGACGAAAAATGTTGACGTGGACTTGCAAGATTGTGCAATTTCTTCAAATATAAATATAAGATTTGATTTCTTTTCACGTCAGCATTTTTTGTCGGTTTGTTGACAGTGAGACCAAAAAAGATAAAGTTTAATTATATTGGGACAAAAAATTGATGAGTTTTTGTTATATTGAGATTAAAATTGATAAAAAAAAATTTATATTGAGACAAAAAAAAATGATGAGTTTTACTTATATTATGACAAAAAATAATGAATTTTGGTTATATTAAGACCAAAATTAATATAATTTTTATATTAAGACCAAAATTGATAAATTTAATATTATATTAAGACTAAAAATAATTTTTTCCCAATAAGATATTTCAAATTAAAAATTATCTATATCATGAAAATCAACCAATAAATGTGTAATCATACCAATAAGTCCCTATCAAGATCTATCTAAGTCATAAATACAAACGATTGCAATAAGAAAACTTTTACAATGCACTACTAATAAATTTATCTATTACCCCTCTCTCTCTCTCTCGTAATAAAATATTTATTTTCTATTTTAGTCCATCTCGTAACAAAGTATTATTTTTTTTAGTAACTGTCCTAACATTACAAATACTCTTACAACTTACAATATATTACACAAATGTCATTACCTTTTTATATCACACATACTTATAAGGTTATTTTAGTCATTTCTACTTTATTCCTACTATATCCCAATATAATACTAATATTTCTAAAATTACGTGCAAAAAACAAATGAATATTTAATTTCGGGACAAATGGAGTATTATAAATAAATAAAAATAAAAATTTGTTTGGAGTATTGGATTGACTATTACCGTGTGTTTGTTTTGGGATTTTTTTTCAATTTTTACTATTTATTAAATTTTTTCTTCTAAAAATATGAATTCAAATATCTTACTTTTTATTTTTTATATTATACTAATTACTAAACGAATTTATTTTTGAATTTCTTCAAATCCTCGTACTAGTAAAGTTGATCCGGGATTAGTAGAGTATAGATTTTTCTTTACATCTTCTAATTGAATTGAATTTACACCCCGACATCTAATTTATTATTTAACCAAAAATATTCCATATAAACCAAAAATATTTAATATAAAATAATTTTTTTACCATGATTAGATTCAATAAGCAAATGTTTATTAAAAAAAAAAAAGCAAATATTAATATAATATATAATACATATTTGAATAACATATTATATAATTATATATAATAAAAAATATATCTTAAAAACTATATTATGACAATAATCTGGTTCAATTAACAAATTATCATTGATAAAAAAATATAAATATTAATATAATGCATAATACATTATATAATACAATATATTTTTATTATGAATTCTTTTAAATTAATATAATTATTTGATAATATATTATTTATGGTATGATAATTTGCTAATTATTCTATATTAATTTACTGATTTGATCAAATTCGAACAACGATGACCTAACAGCATACTAATATACTAATATATATGGAGTATTTCTTAGAAGTATCAACTTAAATATTTTATTATTTAAAATATGGCTATACTTTTTTCATTCACAATTCTATACTTTTTTTTTCCATTAACAATATATTTATTTTTTTTATTTTGATCCATTCCATAACAAAGTATTCATATTTGTATTATCTACCCAATATTATAAATATCCTTCCAATTTACAATATATTACATAAATATCATTACTTTTATATCATACAATACTAATAGGGTTAATTTAGTATTTTTACTTTATTCTAATATAATACTAATATTTCTAAAATTCCGTGAAAAAAACAAATGAATATATATATATACACGGGGCGGAGAGAGTATTAAATGTATATTTACATCACAAATCCTTTAAAAAGCCACTTTAAACAAAGACTGTAATGAGCATGCATTAGTAATTATTCCTCTATTCATTTGTAAAATTTACATTTACTTTTTGTATGTTTATATTTAAATATTAATTATTATATTAAAATATAATATAAATTAAAAAAAAAGTAAAAATATTTTTATTTGTATTTTATAATACTAATAATATAACATTTATAAAAAAAATTATATAAATATAAAAGAAAATTTAATATTAAATACACAAAAGATAAATAGTGAAACAAAGGAATATAATATTTGTATAACTAATATATGCATATTAGAAAGTATATTATTCTAAGTGAAGAGTAATAATCTTAAAATCAATTATAAATTCACAATATTATATCATTAAATAGTTATTTAAAATTAAAATTTTATTATTAAAAATTAAAAAAAATTATTTTCATCGGAAATCCCTAAGGGCCTGTTTGGTTCAAATGAAGGTAGGGGAAGAAAAAATTTTAATAGAAGAAATGAGAGACTATGAGAGGGAAGAGAATATTAAAATTATAATAGTGTGTTTGGTTCATATGAAAATGAAATGAGGAGAGGTGAGGAAAATAGTATTTTTGTAATTGGTTAAACAAGAAAGTGAATGAAAAATATAATAATTTATTGTATAAATAAATAAAAAATAAAAGTATTTAATAAATTTTATTAATTTATTAATAAAAAATTAATTTTGATATAAAAGTGACGGAGTTTGTTTTAAAATAAATATATATTTATATCATGTAAATAAAACATAAATTAAAATAAAATTATATATAAGAAAACTAAATCAATTAATAACAAAATAATCATTCTAACATAAATTTTATTTATTTAGAATAAATTACAAGATAAATATTAGTGTTAAAATAAATATAATATATATGAATATATTTTATTAATTAAAACTTAACTCTTAAAAATATAATTAAATAATTAAAATAAAATAAATTTAATTTATATAAACATTTTGTTTTATAATTTAATTACATTATAAAATTTAAAAATATTAAACTAATTATTAATTATATAATACGTATAATATAATTTATATATAATTAAATACATATAAAGTAATATACAATATTAACGATATAATATAATTTTATAAAATAAAAGCACAGACATTTTTCTCTTTCCTTCGTATTCTTTCAATTTTGATGGAAAACAATACAAATTCATTTTATATTCCATCCTAAAGGCGAAACAGTGTACATCAACGAGGCGAAGAAGACGAAGAAGAGGAAGAAGAAACATAGGTGTGGATATGCTGCAGAAAAGTGATATGTGGTGGCCGATGGCGGCGGCCGACGTATCCCCTGGCGGCGCCCTCGGTGTAGCAGCAGACCTCTCCGCCATGGCTCCTCCTCCACAGCGCCTCCGCAAAGCTGTGATGGCCGAAGTAGGCTTCCACCGGCGCCGCCTCTTCAGATTCAATTTCAATCGGAAGCCTCTCGTAGTGGCCCTCCAGGATGCCCTCTAGCTCGTCCAATTTCGCCAGCGCCGCCGGGGACACGGCGTAGATCTCGCCGGAGACGCGGTGGCCGTGGCCGGGAAAATTGAGGAGAAAGGGGATACCGTAGGGCCCGCAGACGAGGGGGAGACGGTGGACGGTGCGGCGGGGGCCGTGGGCGGCGACGTCCCCCGTGGCTACCATGTCTTGCAGGAGGGAGTGATTGGGGAATCCCTCTTTTAGGGTGCCGTACACGAATATCAGCGACCGCGCCGTCGTTCTCGCCGCCGGCTCCTCCGCCTCCGCCGCCGCCGTCGCCATGTCACTTCTTCAAGAAAGTACTGTAAGTAAGGTCGGTAATTGGTCTTGGATCTGAAGTTAGCAGCAAAATATCATTATATATACATAATGTTAAAATTTGTTTGTATTAAATTGTTGCTGTTTTGGAATTTTGGTATTCCGTTTTAGAGATAATGGACCCAAATCATACACGCTTCTATATACATACACACTTAATACTTCGTGATGCAAAATAAGATTGAAAAGAAAAAGTAATGTTGTCCCGGAAGGAATAACCGGTGATGTGGAAGTGAACGTAACGGTGACTTCATAGGTTTAAACCCCGACGTCTAAAAGTTCATCTGTCACACATAGTTCGTCTAGTGACTTGTCTTGTCGAACTTAGTTTGGTGGGTACTAGGATCGAACTAGCAGCATCAAAAGGGTGGGTGTAGATACACACACACACGTATGAATGATAATGTAGATGGGGCTGAGGTTGGAGTGTCGTTGTTGATCCGATCCGAAAGCGGAAACAAATTAGCAACATAAAAAAGCTCTCATTCTCAAACTTATTGAATGTATAAGTACACACGTGTGTAGTATATACCCCATATGTGACGATGCAAATATCTGATTCCGAAGCGGCATTGTATCAACATCATCAAAAGACTCTTAGTTCCATCTACATTAATCACTAATTTGGTGTATATATATACACGTGTGTATATATACACCCAATGAGTGATGATCCAGATGAGACTAAGAGCATTTTGATGCTCCGGATGTAATCCCGCGATTAGATCAGCAATCTCACTCTTTCGCTGTTGGTAGGCCATCTGATTTTCATGAATTAGCCTCGAACAGATGGATGTTTGCAAGGCATTATACAGGTTCGATCGGCTCTGTCTAGTCAGCAATCAGACGTCTTTCCTTTTCGATGCGGCCGTTCAGGGCGGTCTGCTCTCTTTGCAGATTGTCCAGCTCGTTTGGAGACGCTCCAGTTATTTTTTTTTCCTCCCGTTAATGACTTCGGTTAATATGTTTTGAGCTTGCAGGAGACTGCTCAGTCTCACGTCGGCTTGATTGAGGTTTTCGTTTGTCTTTGACAAGGTTGCTTCAATTGCATTCGAGTCAGCTACAGACGGAGGTTGAGGTGGGTCGGCTGCTGAAGTCGGATTGCTAGAAAGTCGGCTTGAAGCTCGGTGATCCGATCCATATCCCTCATTGGAAATATATATATGTATGTAGTCAAAAATAACTTTATATATACACATGTGTACTTTATACATATACCCAATAGGTGACGATGGAGATGAGATTGGGTGGGGATGAAAAAATTTTATATTAAATTTATTATATTTATTTAAATTTACATTATTTTTATGCATAAAATTACTTATACTTCATTTATTATACTTAAATATTGTAATAATGTATACACCAATGTATAATACGAGTTTAAAATTATTTGTATTAAATTGTTGCAGTGTTACATAAATTTTTGTTATTTGGCCTAGAAGCTAACACATCAAATACCTAGCCCGTCTGCCCTTTAGATCAGCCGTCCCATGTGCGCGGCAAAATTTGGTATACTATGTAGTATGAGAGATGTAGAGGAATAAGACAAGGGGCTAGCACTTATAGAACGGACTGTGGCAAAGAATTTAGGGTTAAATACTCTGATAATATTTCTTTACCTTAAGTTGTAAACGGTATCGTTTTAAGTTACCTGAGTGCATTGATATTTCTTATCACACTTTTGGCATGCCTCCAAACATCATTCAATTGACACTTTTTTGCATATCCTTCGTGCCCATATAATGTCAACGAGATTCTCTATAGCCAACTCACATGTAGTTCATTTTGCCGCTCATCTTCGCATATCCTTCGTGCCCACATAATGTCAACGGGATTCTCTATAGCTAACTCACATGTAGTTCATTTTGCCGCTCATCTTCGCATACTATTTAGGACACCACTTAAATCCTAGATCTTCCTCAAGCTTTCATGGCGAGAATTCTCCCCCCAATGCATTAACTAGTGTTTTGGAATCAATGAATGAATGAAGATGAATCACGTGTTTACAACATAATATATGTTGTATTATATATAAATATATAATGATCATCTATATGACATATAGTTATCTAATCAAATCAATTCTGTGATGATTTGACTGGATCATCACAGAATCTGATAATTATTTTTTTTTTTATTACAAACTAAAGAATGTGTGATTATATTGAAAATTAATGATACGTCACTTTTGTAAAAGTGACCGGAAAAATGCTTTGAATAATAGTTTTAAATATTAATAGGTGAATACTGAATCAATAGAATTTTACATTGAGGACAAATGTAAACAGAAGCGCATTGAAGTCTATGGATTCAAAGAAAGAATGAAATGGATAGAACTAAGACTAAATTTTAACCACTATTTTTATAAATTTACAAAAAATGAAACTAGGATTGACAGACAGAAAAAAGTACTAAATAAAGTAAAATGAAACGAATAAATTATTTTTTTAAAAAATAAATTATATAGAACGAATAAAAATAAAAAATATTAACAAATTAAATGAACAAAGAATAATATGCTATCCCAATGATATTTTATCAACACCGCCTTTTAGATTGATACGAAGTTAAAGCGAAATTTTTTATCATACAAGTACGGAGTAGAAGAGCATAAATTAATGTAGTTCTTCCTCGTTCAAATCTATGCTTATTTTTCATTGTCATTAAAAAATATTTTTATTTTTATTTCAGTAAAAAACTATTATATTTTGTACTTTTTATTATAAAAAAAATAACTATTATTATTTATTTTTATTAAAATTCGTATCCGATCAAATGAACACACATTTTAATAAAGAAAAAGTATAAAATAATAAATAAAAACTTGAAAAGGTGTTCCAGAATATTATATTAGTCTCTCCGTTCCGGAACTAAATATCTATTTTCTTTTTGCACGTAATTTTAGAAATATTAGTATTATATTGAAATATAGTAGGAATAAAGTAGAAATGACTAAAATAATCTTATTAGTATGTTTGATATAAAGGTAATGACATTTGTGTAATATATCGTAAGTTGTAAGGGTATTTGTAATGTTACGTAGATAATACAGTTACTAAAAATAAATGAATACTTTATTACGAGACGAATTAAAATGAAAAAATAAATACTTTATTTTACGGACGGAAAAGAGTAGTACAACAGGAATATAAATGCAGTTGTCTTTTATTTTAATTTATTTTATTTTTTTGGAAAACAAATCATCATACAACCATCTAGTAAGGGAACACGTGGCTTTAATTCTCGTGAATCCTCCAATCTCTGACAGACTTTTTGGATAATGATCTCTTTCTCATATATATATTTTTTTTAAGTAAAAAAATACACACTTATTTTTCACTTCACATGCACCTTTTATTTCATTATAAAAATTAGATTACATATATTTCTAAATATATTGTTAAATATTACAATTAATTTAATATATTAAAAAAATTAATTTATTCTTACTAAATTGAATCAATTAATTTTAGCAAGCGCATGTTTTTATTTCGTACCAATATTATTTATTTATTTTATTTTCATTTTTGATATGTCAACAGCCCTAGTGATGTAACACATGTTTCTGTTATCTTTTCCAGAGTCGATTTCGGGTAGTCGCAGGAGCTCAAGACCTGATCAATCTCCACCGTTGATTATCAGATGTTCGTCGTGGATGCATCTGGCGTCAAGCTCCCAGGACCTTCGACATGAACTCGTCTTCCCCACTGGTCCCAGCAGCGGAACGTTTGTTTTTGGTGCTTACTAAATATCGTCTTCTCATTCCACAATTATCTTCACATCCTTCTATCCCAATCTTCCTTTCTCCCAAAAACACCTCCCCCATTTCTCAATCAGGCGAGGATATTCTTCCGCGTAGTACGAAGCGATTCATCCGACTGCAATTGGGTTTTGGAGTTTCAGAATCCGATTATTGTTCGGCTTCGGTGAGTCCTATTAATTTGATCGATATATCTTCATGTAAAATCCGTTATCTCGCTCGTAAGACGTCTGGATTCACTTATTTTGTGAGAAAATGGTTTGTTTTATTGAGTCGAGATTTGGGAGCCGAGGTGTTCGATGAAATGCCTGACTGATGCTAATTTTCAGTTTCCTATCGTCTATATGTAGAAATACAAATACATTTCAATTTGTTAAGCTTTTTCTGAATCGATGCTGATGTTTTTGTGTTGATATTTTCCCCAATAGAATACATCTCTTTCTCCATTGCTTTTTGGGTGTGCAAAGGTGAATTGATTTGTGACTATGGATGCTGAACAGATAGTGGTGGAGTATGAATATGCAAAAGTTACATACAGATTTCTGTATTGACCTGACCAAACTGCTATAGTTTATTGATTTATTTGCATCTGTATGTCACAGGTTTTGATTGAATTTAAAGCAAATATATCATCAAAGCAGAATCTAGACTCCATTCAATCACTCTCCCTTTTGCCCTTCTCAAGATCTGATGGAGATTCATAGCAAAAGCAAGATTTCTCACGGGCTTTCTGTTATCTGATTTTGACTTTTCTTTTACACATATATATACGTATATATATATATATATTTCAGAAGTTTCAATCCTATTTTTGGTCATTCCCACTATTTCTGCTCAGCCTCCTCTCTTTTAGTTAATCAATCCTGTATTTGTTTTTGTTAATTGTCTCCTTGCTCTGTTCTTGGTTATTCGAAATAAATCGAAAATTATGAGGCTCAAAGCTATTACATGTTCTCACCATGCCTTTCTTGCATTTGTTCCTTATTTTCCTTCACTTCATGTTTCCTCTTCTTGTCTGAGGAAGTGTCATTCGGCTGCAACACTCTCCGTTGCCGTTTCGAATCACTTTGTGTCGAGTACTCTCTTCAAGACTCGATCCCTAAACAGGATCTCAAGAGGCGATAGGATTCGACGATCCTGCAGTTCTAATTTGGACGACATTGAGGAGTTGGCGTTTCAAGTAGAAGGATTCGACAATGGAGGTGGAACAGATGAAGTGCACTGTGCAACATCAAAGATGAGTCCTTTTGCAGGCAAAAACGAATTGGGACAAGACCCATTCTTGCAGTCACGGCCCGATTTCTTGGAGCCTATGATGATTGGGATTCGGCCGGATTTCCCGGATTGGCCGGATCAAGAAACTGCAATGTGGGCTTCGATCGAGCAGAAAGCTAAGAGTTTCGACATTCCCCTGTCTTTAAGAATGATAAAGAAGAAACTACAATGGGAAGAAGCCGGATTTGTCGATGGAAAAGAAGAGTCGCCCTACTGTTCGATGAAGGCTGCTTTTGCTTCCATGGTTTACATCGTCGTCGAGCTCCAAAGCCACGCGTTGCATATGAGGGAAGCTTTGTGCCGCGAGAATTTGGAAATCATATCGTCGAAAGTGCAGAAAGACATCCATTCGTCGTTCGTTTGGCTGTTCCAGCAAGTGTTCTCGAAGACCCCTGATTTGATGCTCCATGTAATGATCCTCTTGGCTAATTTCATCGTACATTCGTCGTTGCGAAATATCGACGCAGTAGCGGAGGCACTGCCGTTGAAAGGATTCAGCGACAGAATATCAAAGGATGCTGAAACAGGGGATTTTCTGCAGAGCAGTCGAGATTCGAGTTCTTTCGGAGGGAATCGATTGGAGAGCGTTGATGAAATGAATCTGTGGAATTCGATGTTGAAAAGCGTTAAAGACGAGGTTCTCGAACGCGACGTGTTTCAGCATTTTGTTGCACCTGTGTCTGTGGAGCTCGAACCCGACAATTACGAAGACTATCTTAGGACAGATCTTTTGTATCAGTTGACGTTGTCCCGGGAGCCGAATAATTCCCTTTTACTCTGCAACTATGCGCAGTTCTTGTACCTTGTTGCACGCGATTATGACAGGTGATCTGTCGACATTTTTTCTGGTTCGAGTTCGATTAATTGTTGTCTTGTCTGACGTACATTTTGTCTGACCAGGGCCGAGGAATGCTTCAAGAGGGCAATGCAGATATTGCCACCAGAAGCAGAGTCGTTGAATCAATACGCGAGTTTTCTTTGGACAGTTAGGAGGGACTTCTCGGGGGCAGAGGAAAGGTTCTTACAAGCGCTGTCTGTCGAGCCGGAGAATTCGTATTACGCTTCCAGGTACGCGAATTTCTTGTGGAGTACCGGTGGAGAAGAGACATGCTTCCCTCTAAACAATTCCCTCGAAACATCGGCTTAGCTTAGGAAAAACCATCGATCAATCGAGATTATGAGTTAGCTGTAAGAACAAGAACTCGTGCCTTGGGTTCCGGGGATCGGTATATGGCGGTTGGTTGGTTTGTTAGAGGTAAATGATGGAAATGGGGAAGGGGAGGTAGGGTGGTGGGGAGCCGGCAGGGGCGGGGCGGGGGTGGGTGTATGGATGTACAAGAATATATATATATATATATGTATAAGAGGAGGTGATGAAGGGTTGTTGGAAGAAGGAGGAAGAAAAAGAAGAAGAAGAAGCTGTCTGAATAGAATGAATATTTACATCACCAAATTGTTGAAACTGTACAGTTTTAAGTTCTAAAGACATGATGTTGATGATGAGCAGCTATATATTTAATGCTGGTGTTAGCAAAAATAATCAAACATTTATGATTTATTTTGTTTGCATATTGATTGTCTCAGTTAGATATTATAGATAACATACGAAAATATCGTATTATCGTGCATATTCAATTGAGGCTATGAGATGGAGTTTTCAACCTAAAATTAATTAGTACCAACTGCAGTGATCATTCATCTTTATAAACTAGGACAGCCCTAACATCAATTCCAATGTGAAATATTATTTAATAGCATTCAACTTTGAGCCAAAATTTTGGACCGAAATTTTGTGTATAATAATAATAATTATTACTCATTTTGTTCTATATCTATCTATTCGTTTGTTTTTTCTAAGGTGTTTTAGAAATATTTGTTTTATATTAGAATATAGTAGAACTAAAAGTAAAATGACTAAACTAACGATCTTCATCGGCTCGAAAAAGACCTTTAATCAACGAAGAGATATTTGTCGGGAGAAGTGTCCGGGTTAAGGTTTAGGGTTTAAGGTTTAGGGTTCAAAGTTTAAGATTCAGGGTTTATGGTTATTTTTGAAAAAAAAAAAACAATATAGCAATGGTTGCACCAAAAGCGGTCTGCCTACTTATTGAAACGGGATTAAGTCATACATAGTTATGCTAATACAAGCTATAGAGTCTAAGTCACGCTAGCATACTAGACTAGCCTAGGTAGTTTAAGTATCAAAGGTCAAAAGAACCATGCCTAAGGCATCAACACCAAAAACAATATTAAGTCTATCAAGTCTAAGTAATCAACATTAAGTATCCCAAAACACAAACGGGGGTGAAGCCTATTACTTGAAATTGAAAGTCAGGAAACCATATGCATCTGCTCGAAGGAGACCTTTAATCAACGAAGGAATATCTATCGGGAGAAGTGTTCGGGTTAAGGGTTTAGGGTTTAATGTTTAGGGTTTAGGGTTTAGTGTTTAATGTTTAATGTTTAGGGTTTTTTTAAAAAAATTATATTGCAATGGTTGCACCCAAAGTGGGTTGCCTACATACCCAAATGGGATCAAGCCATACGTAGTTTTGCTAAAACAAGCTATACAGTCTAAGTCAAGCTAACAGACTAGACTAGTCTAGCCTAGGTAGTATAAGTATCAAAGGCCAAAGGTAACAAGCCTAAGACATCAACACCAACCAAGCAATACTAATCCTATCTAGTCTAAGTAATCAACACCAAGTGTCCAAAAGAACAAGTAAGAGAGTGAAGCCTATTACTTGAAAAAGTGAGGTGGGAAACCATATGCATCTGCTCGGAAGAGACCTTTAATCGACAAAGGGATATCTGTCGGGAAAAGTGCCCTTGTTTAGGGTTTAGGAATTGGGGTTCAGGGTTTAAGGTTTCAAGTTTAAGGTTTTTTTAAAAAACAACGATATAGCAATGGTTGCACCTAAAGTGGGTTGCCTGTGTACCAAAACGGAATCAAGCCATACGTAATTATGCTGATACAAGGTATACAGTCCAAGCCAAGCTAATAAACTAGACTATCCTAGGTAATCTAAGTATAAAAGGCCAAAAGCAACATGCCTAAGGCACCAATACCAACCACGCAATACTAAACCTACCAAGTCTAAGTGTCCCAAAAAACAAGTAAGAGAGTGAAGCCTATTACCTGAAATGATAAGTCGGGAAACCATCTGCATCTGCTCGAAGGAGACCCTTAATCAACGAAGGAATATATGTCGGGAAAAGTATCTGGGTTTAGGGTTTAAGGTTTAGGGATCAAGGTTTAGGGTTTAGGGTTTAGGGTTTAGGGGATATTTTTTCAAAAAAAAACTATATAGCAATGGCTGTACCTAAAGTGGGTTGCTTACGTACCCAAATGAGATCAATTCATACGTAATTCTACTAAAACAAGCTATATAATCCAAGTCAACCTAACAGACTAGACTAGCCTAGGTAGTCTAAGTATCATAAAGATTATATAGCAATGACTGCACCCAAAGTAGGCTGCCTACGTACCCAATCGGGATCAAGCCATACGTAGTTCTACTAATTCAAACAATACAGTCCAAGTAAAGCTAACAGAATAGGCTAGGCCTAGATAATTTAAGTATCAAAGGCCAAAGGCAACATGCCTAAGGCATCAACACTAACCAAGCAATACTAAGTCTATCAAGTCTTAGTAATCAACACTAAGTGTCCCGAAAAACAAACGGCCTGCCTACGTACCGAAACGAGATCAAGCCATACGTAGTTATGCTAATATAAGCTATACGATCCAAGTCAAACTAGCATACTAGACTAGCCTAGGTAGTCTAAGTATCAAATACCAAAGATAACATGCCTAAGGTATCAACACTAACTAAACAATTTTAAGTCTATCAAGTAAAACTATTCAACACTAAGTGTCTCAAAAAGCAAGTTAGAGAGTGAAGTCTATTTCTTGAAATAGAAAGGCGGGAAACCATCTGCATATGCTCGAAGGAGACCTTAAATCAATGAAGGAATATCCGTCGGGAAAAGTTTCTGGGTTAAGGGTTTAGGGTTCAAGGTTTAGGTTTCAAGGTTTAGGGTTTAGGATTTTTTCTTAAAAAAAAGTTATATAGAAATGGCTGCACCCAAAGTGGGCTGCCTACGTACCCAAACGGGATCAAGCCATACGTAGTTCTGTTCTTCTAAAACAAGCTATACAATCCAAGTCAAGCTAATAAACTAAACTAGCCTAGGTAATTTAAGTGTCAAAGGCCAAAGGCAACATGCCAAAGGCATCAACACTAACCAAACAATACTAAGCCTATCAAATCTTAGTAATCAACACAAAGTGTCCTAAAAAACAAGTAAAAAGGTGAAGCCTATTACTTGAAATAGAAAGTCGAGAAATCATCTACATTTGCCCGGAGGAGACCCTTAATCGAGAAAGGGATATCTGACGGGAGAAGTGTCCGAGTTTAAGGTTTAGGCTTTAGCGTTTAGGGTTTAAGGTTTTGGGTTTAGATTTTTTTTTTTTTAAAAAAAAAAACTATATAGCAATGGCTACACCTAGAGTAGGTTGCTTACGTACCCAAACGGGATCAAACCACACGTAGTTCTGCTGATATAAGCTATACAATCCAAGTCAAGCTAATAGACTAGACTATCCTAGGTAGTCTAAGTATAAAAAGCCAAAGACAACATGCCTAAGGCACCAACACCAACCAAACAATACTAAGTTTATCAAGTCTTAGTGATCAACACTAAGTGTCTCCAAAAAAAAGTAAGAGGGTGAAGCCTATTACCTGAAATGAAAAGTCAGAAAACCATATGTATCTGCTCGGAGGAGACCTTTAATCCACGAAGCGATATCTGTCAGGAGAAATATTCGGGTTTATGGTTTAGGGTTTAGGGTTTTAAAAAAAAAACTATATAGCTATGGCTGCACCTAAAGTGGGTTGCCTACGTAACCAAACAGGATCAAGCCATACGTAGTTCTAATAATACATGCTCTACAGTCCAAGTCAAGCTAACAGACTAAACTAGACTAGGTAGTATAAGTATTAAAGGCCAAAGGCAACATACATAAGAAATCAACACCAACCGAGCAATAGTAAGCCTATCACGTGTAAGTAATCAACACTAAGTGTCCTAAAAAACAAGTAAGAGGGTGAAGCTCTTACCTGAAATGGAAAGTCTGGAAACCATCTGCATCTGCTCGAATGAGACATTTAGTCAACGGAGGAATATCTGTCGGGAGAAGTGTCCATAGTAATGGTTTAGGGTTTAGGGTTTAACGTTTAGGGTTCAGGGTTTAAGGATTAGGATATTTTTTAAAATAAATTATATAGCAATGGCTGCACCCAAAGTGGACTGCCTACGTACCCAAACGGGATCAAGCCATACGTAGTTCTGTTAATACAAGCTATACAGTCCAAGTCAAGCTAACATACTAGACTATCCTAGGTAGTCTAAGTATCAAAGCCCAAATCCAACATGCATAAGACATCAACACTAACAAACCATTACTAAGCCTATTAAGTATAACTAATCAACACTAGGTGTCCCATAAAACAAATAAAAAAGTGAAGCCTATTACCTGAAATGGAAAGTCGAGAAACCATCTGCATCTGCTCGAAGGAGACCTTCAATCAACGAAGGAATATTGTCGGGAAAATTGTCTGGGTTAAGGGTTTACGGTTTACGGTTTAGGGTTCATGGTTTAGGGTTTAGGGTTTTTTTAAAAAAAACTATATAGCAATGGCTGCACCTAAAGTTGGTTTCCTACGTACCCAAACGGGATCAAGCCATACGTAGTTCTAGTAATACATGCTATACAGTCCAAGTCAAGCTAACAGACTAAACTAGACTAGGTAGTATAAGTATCAAAGGCGAAAGGCAACATGCCTAAGAAATCAACACCAATCGAGCATCGTAAGCATATCAATGGCTGCACCTAAAGTTGGTTGCCTACGTACCCAAACGGGATCAAGCCATACGTAGTTCTGTTAATACAAGCTATACAGTCCAAGTCAAGCTAACATACTAGACTAGCCTAGGTAGTCTAAGTATCAAAGCCCAAATCCAACATGCATAAGACATCAACACTAACAAACCATTACTAAGCCTATTAAGTATAACTAATCAACACTAGGTGTCCCATAAAACAAATAAAAAAGTGAAGCCTATTACCTGAAATGGAAAGTCGAGAAACCATCTGCATCTGCTCGAAGGAGACCTTCAATCAACGAAGGAATATTGTCGGGAAAATTGTCTGGGTTAAGGGTTTACGGTTTACGGTTTAGGGTTCATGGTTTAGGGTTTAGGGTTTTTTTAAAAAAAACTATATAGCAATGGCTGCACCTAAAGTTGGTTGCCTACGTACCCAAACGGGATCAAGCCATACGTAGTTCTAGTAATACATGCTATACAGTCCAAGTCAAGCTAACAGACTAAACTAGACTAGGTAGTATAAGTATCAAAGGCGAAAGGCAACATGCCTAAGAAATCAACACCAATCGAGCATCGTAAGCATATCAATGGCTGCACCTAAAGTTGGTTGCCTACGTACCCAAACGG